GCAGGTTCGAATCCTGTCGCTGGACGGAGGTTTCTGTTTACACTACGATGCTTCCCTTTTAATTCTGTGATTTTTAACTTGCTATAGGGATATATTTGATAAAATAAATTGTCTTCTCTCTCGGGAAGATTAGATTGACACTCGATTATGTTAAATCATTGCTTACTCCATTCTATTCGACGAGACACGTCCATTTTATCGTACTTTTTGAAGAGAACGTATAAACACAATACTATGTTGAAATAGGTTTTTATACACAAAGCGTTCTTATATATATGTAGAGAGTTACAAAGAATTTCATGTCCGCGTGGCCTAATGGATAAGGCGTCTGACTTCGAATCAGAAGATTGCAGGTTCGAATCCTGTCGCGGACGGAGGTTTCTGTTTACACTACGATGCTTCCCTTTTAATTCTGTGATTTTTAAATTACTAGGATATATTTGATAAATAATTTGTCTTCTCTCTCTCTCGGGAAGATTAGATTGACACTCGATTTTGTTAAATCATTGCTTACTCCATTCTATTCGACGAGACACGTCCATTCTATCGTATTTTTGAAGAGAACGTATAAACACAATAAATACTATGTTGAAACAGTTTTTTATACATAATGCGTTCTTATATATATGTAGAGATTACAAAAAATTTCATGTCCGCGTGGCCTAATGGATAGGCGTCTGACTTCGAATCAGAAGATTGCAGGTTCGAATCCTGTCGCGGACGGAGGTTTCTGTTTACACTACGATGCTTCCCTTTTAATTCTGTGATTTTTAAATTGCTGTAGGAGATACAATTGATAAAATGAAATGTCTGCTCGGAAAGATTAGATTGACACTCGATTTTGTTAAATCATTGCTTACTCCATTCTATTCGTTGAGACACGTCCATTTTATCGTATTTTTGAAGAGAACGTATAAACACAATACTAGTTGAAATAGTTTTATACATAAAGCGTTCTTATATATGCTGGGGAAGTTACAAGAATTTCATGTCCGCGTGGCCTAATGGATAAGGCGTCTGACTTCGAATCAAAAGATTGCAGGTTCCAATCCTGTCGCGGGCGGAGGTTTCTGTTTACAGTACGATGCTTCCCTTTTAATTCTGATTTTAACTTGCTATAGGGATATATTTGATAAAATAAATTGTCTTCTCTCTCTCTCTCTTGAAGATTAGATTGACATTTTTCTTAAATCATTGCTTACTTCCCCCCCCCCCCCCCCCCCCCCCCCCCCCCCCCCCCCCCCCCCCCCCCCCCCCCCCCCCCCCCCCCCCCCCCCCCCCCCCCCCCCCCCCCCCCCCCCCCCCCCCCCCCCCCCCCCCCCCCCCCCCCCCCCCCCCCCCCCCCCCCCCCCCCCCCCCCCCCCCCCCCCCCCCCCCCCCCCCCCCCCCCCCCCCCCCCCCCCCCCCCCCCCTTTTTTTTTTTTTTTTTTTTTTTTTTTTTTTTTTTTTTTTTTTTTTTTTTTTTTTTTTTTTTTTTTTTTTTTTTTTTTTTTTTTTTTTTTTTTTTTTTTTTTTTTTTTTTTTTTTTTTTTTTTTTTTTTTTTTTTTTTTTTTTTTTTTTTTTTTTTTTTTTTTTTTTTTTTTTTTTTTTTTTTTTTTTTTTTTTTTTTTTTTTTTTTTTTTTTTTTTTTTTTTTTTTTTTTTTTTTTTTTTTTTTTTTTTTTTTTTTTTTTTTTTTTTTTTTTTTTTTTTTTTTTTTTTTTTTTTTTTTTTTTTTTTTTTTTTTTTTTTTTTTTTTTTTTTTTTTTTTTTTTTTTTTTTTTTTTTTTTTTTTTTTTTTTTTTTTTTTTTTTTTTTTTTTTTTTTTTTTTTTTTTTTTTTTTTTTTTTTCTTCAAAAAAAGAAAATTTTCGATTTTGAAAAAAAAAACAAAATTTCTTTGGGGAAAACTATTTTAATTTTGAAAGTTAAAAAAAACATTTTGCTTTTTATAATAAGCGTTTTTTAAATTTTAGAGTTAAAAAGGGAATTTCACCAGGTTGGGTAACCCCTTTTAAATTTGGGGATTTTAGGGGGTTTTTTTATATTTTTAATTTTTTTTTTAAAAAATTTTTTAAATTTTTAAATTTTCTTTCAAAAGATTTCCTCTTTTTTTAAAAAAAACTTTTGTTTTAAATTTTTTCAAAAACCGTTTTTATTTATTTTAAAAGAATTTTCAAAATCTAGGGGGAAAAGGTTTTATCAAAAGCGTTCAATTTGGGGTTAAAAAAAATTTTTCATTGCCCCTTTTTTGGGGAAAAGTAAAAATTTTTTTTAATTTTTTTTGGATTTTTAACGCTTTTTTTTTGAAAAAAATTTTTCTTTTTTAAGGAAATTAAAATTAAAATTTTACCCATTTTAAAAAACGTTTTATTTTTTTTAAAACAAAAAAAAATTTCTTTTTTAAAAAAGGGTTTTAAAAAATTTTTTTAAATTGTAGGGAAAAAAATTTCTTCCCGGGGTAATGGATGGGCACTTCAATAGGGTTATTGTTTTGGGGGGGGTTTTCTTTTAAAAAACCCTTTTTTTTAAATTTTGTTTTTTTTTTAAATATTTTTTTTTTAAAAAAAAGCTTTCAAAATAGTTAAAACCCGTTTTTTAAATTTTGCTTCTATTTTATTAGAGAAGTAAGATTTTTGGGCGAAAAAATATTTTAAACTTTTTAAATCAACTTTTTAAAATTTTTTAAAAAAAAATTTTTTTTTAAAATGGATCTCTATTGAATAAAAAATTTAGGTTGTCCTTTTCCGGGGGATTTTTTTTCCCCCCTTTTTAATTCTTGTTTTTTTTTTTAAATACAAGTTAAATAAATTTAAAAAAGTTTAAAAACTTTTTTTAAACTTTTATCCATTTTTTCTTTTTAAATTTTTTTTTTTTGGGCATTCCAAATTTTTTTTTTTTTATCAAAAGCGTTCAATTTTGGAAAAATTTCTTTTCCTCCCTTTTTAACTTGATTAATCGAAGATTCTTAAAAAAAGGGGGGAAAGTTTTGAAATAGTTTTCCCTTTTTTTTTTTGGGTTTTTCTTTGTTGGGAAATTTTTAAACTTCCCCCAAATGTTGGGAAATGTTTTTTTAAACTTCAAAATTTTTAGGGGCCCATTTTTATCCCTTTTTGGAAAAATCAAAATAAATCAGGAAAAATTTTTTTATCAAAATGCGCAATTTTGTAAATTAAAAGTTTATTGGTTAATGGAAAGGGTTATTAATAAAATTTGGGGTTTTTCCTTGGGGAGGGGGGGTTTTTTTTTAAAATCTGCCCCCTTTTAAAAATTTTTTTTATGGGAAAATTTTTAAAAATAATTTTTTTTAAAAATTTTTTAAAATATTTTTTTAAATATTGTTCCCCATTTTTTTCGGGGCCCCCTTTTTTCCCGTTTTTTGAAAAATAAAAACAAAACCCTTTTTTTGGGCTTTTTTTCAATCGTTTTTTTAATTAAAATTTTTTTTTGGAATTAATTGAAAAGGGGCCTTTTCAAGTTTGCGGGGTTGGTTCGGGCTTTCTTTTTACGACCTTTTTTTTAATTCGTTTTTTAACGGGGGGAAAAAATAGGAAAATTTTTCTTTTTTAAATTTTTTGGGTTCATTTTAAGCCCGCCCCTTTTTTTTAAAAGAAAAAACAAATTTTGGGAAAATTTTTTTTCCCCTTTTTTTTTTGGTTAAGTTAGGTTTGGTAAGGGATAAGCCTGGGGGGGGTTTTTTTTGGGGGGTTTTAGGTTTCTTTTCATCCTTTCCCCCCTTTTTAAATTCGTTTTTTAAAATTTAGGGGAAAATTTTTTAAATAAAGGTTTTTTTAAAGTTAACACCGTTAAAAATTTTTTATCCATTCATTGCGGGAAACCCCCATTTTTTTTTTGGAGAACGAAAAACATTTTTTTATTTGTTTTTTAAAACTTTTATAAATAATTTTAAAAAATTTTTTTTCCCTTTTCCTTGGGTGGCTCGATTCAAAAAAATTGCTTCCCCAATCCTTCGGGGGAATTTTTTTAATTTTTGAGTTTTTTAAAAATTCTTGTTTTAAAATTTTTAAAAAAAATTAAATTTTTTTTAAAAATTTCCCCCGGAAAATTGTTTAATTTTTAAATAAATTTTTAAATTCAAATTTTCCGGCATTTTTTTTTTTTAAAAACTTAAACCAAATTTTTGAAATGGGGTTTTTTAAAAAATTTTTTCTTTTTGAGATTAAAATTTGGCCCTCTAATAAGGGATTTAATAAATTGGGCAGCCCTTTTTGGGGGGAAGGCTTTTACAAAAAATTTTTTTAAGGTTTTTTTCTTGAAATTTATTTTTTTAAAAAAAAATTTTTTCTTTTTGAAGATTGAAAAATTTTTTTTAAAAATCTTCTTACTCCATATTAAAACATAATTTTTTTTTTTTTAAGAGAATTTAAAAAAATACTAGTTAAAATTTTTTTCTTTGCGCCAAATATTTAAATAAAAAATTATTAATATAAATTGAAAAAAGTTTTTTTAATAGGTTTTTTTTAACACTCATGCTTTTTTTTAATTTTTTTTTTTTAAAATTTAAAGAATTTTATAAAATAAAATTTTCCCAAAAGGGTTTTTTCATTTAAAATATTCTTATCTTTATTCGACGGACACGCCCATTTTATCGTATTTAAAGGGGGAACAAGAAAAAATACTATGGAAAATTTTTATACATAATGCGTTCTTATAATATGTACAGATTTTAAAAGTATTTCATGTCCCTGGCCTAATGGATAAGGCGTTGACTTCGTCAGAAGATTGCAGGTTCGAATTTGGTGGACGGAGGTTTTTTACACTAAGTGCCCTTTTAATTCTGTGATTTTAAACTTGCTATAGGGATAATTTGTTTAAATTGTTTTCTTTTTAAAGATTAGATTGACACTCGATTTTGTTAAATTTGCTTTCTCCATTCTATTCGACGAGAACGTCCATTTTATCGTTTTTTTGAAGAGAACATTAAAAACCAATACTATGTTGAAAACATTTTTATACATAATGCGTTCTTATATATATGTAGAGATTTACAAAAAATTTCATGTCCGCGTGGCCTAATGGATAGGGCTCTGACTTCGAATCAGAAGATTGCAGGTTCGAGATCCTGTCGCGGACGGAGGTTTCTGTTTACACTACGATGTTTCCTTTGAATTCCTGTGATTTTTAAACGATATGAGATACAATTATAAAACGAAATATTCGCGGAAAGAAGATTACACTCGATTTTTGTTAAATCATTGCTTACTCCATTCTATTCTTGAGACACGTCCATTTTATCGTATTTTTGAAGAGAAAATATAAACACAATACTATGTTGAAATATTTTTTATACATAATGCGTTCTTATAGATATGTAGAGAGTTACAAAGAATTCCATGTCCGCGTGGCCTAATGGATAAGGCGTCTGACTTCGAATCAGAAGATTGCAGGTTCGAATCCTGTCGCGGACGGAGGTTTCTGTTTACAATACGATGCTTCCTTTTAATTCTGTGATTTTTAACTTGCTATAGAGGGATATATTTGATAAAATAAATTGTCTTCTCTCTCTCTCGGGAAGATTAGATTGACACTCGATTTTGTTAAATCATTGCTTACTCCATTCTATTCGACGAGACACGTCCATTCTATCGTATTTTTGAAGAGAACGTATAAACACAATAAATACTATGTTGAAACAGTTTTTTATACATAATGCGTTCTTATATATATGTAGAGAGTTACAAAGAATTTCATGTCCGCGTGGCCTAATGGATAAGGCGTCTGACTTCGAATCAGAAGATTGCAGGTTCGAATCCTGTCGCGGACGGAGGTTTCTGTTTACAATACGATGCTTCCCTTTTAATTCTGTGATTTTTAAATTGCTGTATGAGATACAATTGATAAAACGAAATGTCTGCTCGGAAAGATTAGATTGACACTCGATTTTGTTAAATCATTGCTTACTCCATTCTATTCGACGAGACACGTCCATTTTATCGTATTTTTGAAGAGAAAATATAAACACAATACTATGTTGAAACATTTTTTTATACATAATGCGTTCTTATAGATATGTAGAGAGTTACAAAGAATTCATGTCCGCGTGGCCTAATGGATAAGGCGCTTGACTTCGAAGCAGAAGATTGCAGGTTCGAATCTTGTCGCGGACCGAGGTTTCGATTTACACTACGATGCTTCCCTTTTAATTCTGTGATTTTTAACTTGCTATAGAGGGATATATTTGATAAAATAAATTGTCCTTCTCTCTCTCGGGAAGATTAGATTAACACTCGATTTTGTTAAATCATTGCTTACTCCATTCATTCGACGAGAAACTTCCTTTTTATCGTTTTTTTTGAAGGGGCAAAAACTTAAAAAACTATGTTAAAAAGGGTTTTTTATACATAATGCGTTCTTATATATATGTAGAGGGGTTAAAAAAGGAACCATGCCCGCGTGGCCTTGGATTAAGGCGTCTGACTTCGAATCAAAAATTCGGGGTTCGAATCCCAAAGGGACGGAGGTTTCTGTTTACAATACGATGCTTCCCTTTTAATTCTGTTGTTTTTTAAATTGTTTAAGGGATAAATTTAATAAAATAGGTTTGTTTTCCCCCCGGGAAAGATTATTTTTGGATATTTTTGGGTTAAATCTTTTGCTTCTCCATTTTATTCGACGAGACACGTCCTTTTTACCCGTTTTTGAAAAAGAAATATAAACACAAAAAACTATGTTGAAACATTTTTATCCCCATTAAATTGGGTTCTTTTTTAATTAATAAAAGGGTTAAGAAAAAGTTCAAATTTTTATGCCCGGGGCATTTTGGTTTAAATGGAGGGGCCCTTTTTTTGGAAACTTCGAATAAAATTTTAAAAAATTTGAATTCCTCTCTCGGGGAAGATTTTGTTTACACTCGATTTTTTTTAATTCTTGTTTTTTAAATTCCGAAAAAGTTTTTACTTTTTTGAAAAAATAAAAAATTTCTTGTTGGAATTTTTTTTTTTAATTTAAACTTCATTTTTTAAAGTTCCCTTTCCTTTCCCATTGGTTTGGGAAACGTCTTTTTTTAATAAAAATTTTGGGGTTCCAAATCCTTGGGAAAAAGGGGGTTTTTTTACATAAAGCTTCCCCTTTTAATTTGTTTTTTTTAAACTTTCATTGGTTTTTGGAAAAAATAAATTTTTTTTCCTATTTCCCCGGGGAAGAGATTGGGGTTTCCGAACCCCTTTTGAAAATCGCACAAATTTCTTTTACAAACGTTTTTTTTAACCGTATTTTTAAAGGGCTAAAAAAATATTTGGGAAAAATTTTCTTTCTTCTTCTTAAGATTTAGATTAAAATGTTTTCTTCCCCCAAAAACTTTTGCTTCCCCCAAATTCTTAATTGGGGAGGGGGGGACCCTTTTCCCTTTTAATTCGTATTTTTGAAGAAGGAAACTTTAAAATAAAAAAATTCTTTTTGAAAAGTTTTTTTTCCTTTTTAAATCTTCTTTTATTTATTTTTGAAAATTTAAAAAATTTTTCGTTTTTGGGCGTCCCCCAAAATTTGGAGGGGTTAAAATTTTTTAAATCCGTTTATTAAAATTGTGGGAAAAGGTTTTCTGTTTACCAAACCGGGGGTTTTTTTTAATTTCGGATTTTTAATTCTTAGGGAATTTTGTTAAACCTTTGTTTCCCTTTTCCCCTCGGGAAAAAATTAGATTGCCCACTCGTTTTTTGTTAAATCATTCCCCCACTCCTTTTATTCGGAGACACGTCCTTTCCCACCCGTTTTTAGAAAAAAATATAAACACAAAAAACTATTTTAAATTTTTTTTATACTTAATGCGTTCTTATAATATGTAAGATTTAAACAAATTTTTCCATTTTCCGCGGGGCCCCCTTGGATGGGGCGTCTGACTTGGGAAATCAGAAGTTTGCGGGTTTCCCAAACCCCTTCGGGGAAAGGAGGTTTCTGTTTAAAATCCGATGTTTCCCCTTTTTTTAAATTCTGTGATTTTTTTTGGGTTTTAAAGGGATCAAAATAAAAGGGTCCCTTTTCTCTCGGAAAAATTAAAATTAACACTCGATTTTTTAAATCATTGCTTACTCCATTCTTTTCCCGGGGGACGTCAAAATGTATTTTTGAAGAAACTATAAACAAATACTATGTTGAAATGGGTTTTTTACAAAAAGCGTTCTTATATATATGAAAAAGATTTTTACAAAGAATTTCATGTCCGCGGGTTTTTAATGGAAAAGGCGTCGGGCTTCGAAAAAAAAATTTTGCGGGGGTTCGAATCCCTTTTCGGGGAAAGGAATTTCTGTTTACAATACGATCTTTTTTTTTAATTCTGTGTTTTTTAAATTTTTGCTTTAAAAAATAAATTTTGGTAAAATAAATTTTTTCCCCCCCAAAAGTTTAGATTAACACTGGGTTTTTTAAATCATTGCTTCCCTTTTCTATTCGACGAGACACTTCCATTTTACCCGTTTTTGAAAAGAAAAATAAAAAAACCCTATGTTGAAACATTTTTATACATTAATGCGTTCTTATAATATGTAGAGAGTTACAAAAAAATTTTCCATGCCCCGCGTGGCCTAATGGATAGGGGGCGCCTGACTTCGAATCCAGAAGTTTTGGGGGTTTTGGATCTTGTCGCGGGCCCGGGGGTTTTCTTTTTTATTCGATGTTTCCCCTTTTTTAATTCTGCAAATTTTTCCTTTATAGGGGATATTTTTGGGAAAAAAGGCTTTTTCTTCGGGAAGATTAGTTTTGACACTTTTTTTTAAATCATTGTTTCCCCTTTTTTTGACGGAAGTCCTTTTTATCGTTTTTTTTAAGAGAACGTAAAAACAAAAAAATTTGGGGAAACAGTTTTTTATACATAATCCCTTTCCCTTATAATATGAAAGAGAGTTAAAAATTTTTTCATGTGGTGGCCTAATGGATAAGGGGGACTTCGAATCAGAAGATTGCAGGTTCGAATCCTGTTTTTGGACGGGAGGTTTTGTTTACACTACAGTTTTTTAATTCTGGGGTTTTTTGCTTAGGAATAAAATTTATAAAATAAAATTTCTGCTTTGGAAAAGATTAGATTGACCTCGTTTTTTGTTAAATCATTGCTTACTCCTTTCTATTCGGAGACACGTCCATTTTATCTTTTTTTTGAAAAAAATAAAAACCACAATACTATTTTTGAAATTTTTTATACAAAAACTTCTTATAATATGAAAGGGGGTTTACAAAAAATTTTCCATGCCCCGGGGGCCTAATGGATAAGGCGTGACTTCCGAATCAAAAGTTTAGGGGGTTTCCCAATCTGTACGCGGCCCGGAGGTTTCTGTTTACACCCGAGGGTTTCCCCTTTTTTAATTCTGTTTTTTAAAATTTTGTAAGGGAAAAATTTGATAAAATAAATTTTTTTCCTCCGGAAAAGATTGGATTAACATTCGTTTTTTTTTTTTTTAAATCAGGGGCACTTTCTTTTTGGAGACACGCCCCATTTTATCTTTTTTTGGGAAGAAAATAAAAACCCACAATACTATTTAAAAATTTTTTTTTATACAAAAAAGCATTCTTATAATATGTAGGGGAGTTACAAAAAAATTTTCCATGTCCGCGTGGCCTAATGGAAAAGGCGTCTGATTCGAATCAAAAAAATTTGGGGGGGTTTTGAATCCTGTTCGCGGACGGAGGTTTCTGTTTACACTACAGTTTTCCCCCTTTTTAATTCTGTGATTTTTAAATTGTTTAAGGGATATATTTGATAAAATAAATTGTTTTTCTCTCTCTCGGAAGATTAGATTAACCTTTTTTTAAATCTTGGCACCCCTTTTTTCGGGGCATCCTTTTTAAACTTTTTTGGAAGAACTTAAAAACCCAAAAATACTATGTTAAAAAGGGTTTTTCCCCAAATGCGTTCTTATAATATGTAAAAGAGTTAAAAAAAATTTCATGTCCGCGTCCCCTTTAATGGATAAGGGCCCTGACTTGGGAAAAAAAAGATTGCGGGTTTTTGAACCCCTTGAAACGGAGGGGGGTTTTTTGTTTACACTACGTTTTTCCCCCTTTTTTTAACGTTTTTTAAAATTTTGCTGGGTTCTTTTTGATAAAATAATTTGTTTTCCCCCGGGAAGATTAGATTGACACTCGTTTTTTGTTAAATCTTTTCCCTTACTCCTTTCAGGAGACAGTTTTATCTATTTTTGAAGAAAATATAAACACAATACTATGTTAAAAATTTTTTTTAAATACAAAAAGCGTTCTTATAAAAAGGTAAAGTTAAAAGGGGGAATTTTCCTTGTCCGCGGGGCCCCTAAATGGATAAGGCGCGACTTCAAAACCGGAAGTTTTCCAGGTTCAACCCTTGTCGCGGACCGGGGTTTTTTCGTTTAAACTCCGATGTTTCCCCTTTTTAATTCTGGGTTTTAAAATTTGAAAGGGGGAAATTTTTGATAAAATAAAATGTTTTTCTCCCGGAAAAGATTAGATTCCCTTTTCGTTTTTTTAAATCATTGCCCTCCATTCTATTCGGGCCCCCCTTTTTTATCGTATTTTTAGAGAACTTAAACAAATATTGTTGAAATGGGTTTTTATACAAAAAGCGTTCTTATATATATGGGGGTTTTAAAGAATTTCTTTTGTCCCCCGTGGCCTTGGATAAGGCGTCTGACTTGAATCAGAAAGATTCAGGTTCGAACCCCTGTCGCGGACGGGGGTTTCTTTTAAAATAAAGGGTTTTCCCCTTTTTAATTCGGTTTTTTAAATTGCTTAGGGATTTTTTTTGGGGAAAAAAAAAAAAGGTTTTCCTTTTTCCTCGGAAGATTAGATTAACCCTCGATTTTTTAAATCATTGCTTCTCCATTCTATTTCGACGAGACAGGGCCCTTTTTAACGTTTTTTTGAAGAGAACGTATAAACACAAAAAAACTATGTTAAAAATTTTTTATACTTTGCGTTCATATATATATGTAGAGATTTTAAAAAAGAATTTCATGTCCGCTTGGCCTAAATGGATAAGGCGTCTGATTTTGAATCAAAAAGATTGCGGGTTTCCCGAACCCTGTCACGGACGGAGGTTTCTTTTTACTCTACGATGCTTCCCTTTTAATTCTTGATTTTAAATTGCTGTAGGAGATAAAATTTGGGAAAAAATATTTTCTGCTCGGAAAGATTAGATTGCCCATCGTTTTTTGAAAAATTTTTAAACCCCTCCTTTCTATTCGGAGACACGTCCTTTTTTATCGTATTTTTGAAAAAAATTTAAAAAAACACAATACTATTTGGGAAAAACATTTTTCTTTAATATGTAGGGGTTACAAAAAAATTTTCCTTTCCCGTGGCCTAATGGAAAAGGCGTCTGATTTCCCATAAAAGGGAATTGGGATTTTTAAACCCTTTTTGGGGGGGTTTCTTTTTCCCTACGATGTTTCCCCTTTTTAATTCTGTGTTTTTAAAATTTTGCTATAGGGATATATTTGATAAAATAAATTGTCTTTTCCTCTCTCGGGAAGTTTAGATTGACACTCGATTTTTTTAAAAATTTTCCCTTACTCCATTCTATTCGACGAGACACGCCCAAATTTTATCTTTTTTTTTTAAAGGGGAACGTAAAACCACAAATATTTTTAAAAAACCAAAGTTTCTTTCATTGCTTTCCAAATGGATGGGGTTGAGGATTAAAATTTGGGTTTCAGTCCGTTGGCCAAGGAAAGGTTTTGTTTAAACCCCGAGCCCCCCTTTAATTCTTTTGGAATTTTTTAAAATTTTAATTTTTTTCCTTTTAAAAAAATTCCCGCCCCGGAAAAATTAGATTCCCACTCGATTTTTTTAAATCATTGCTTACTCCTTTTATTCTTTTGAGCCCGAAAAATTTTTCTATTTTTTGGGAAGAGAAATATAAACACAATACTATTTTAAATTTTTTTTATACAAAAAGCGTTCTTATAAGGGAGAGAGTTAAAAAAATTTTCCATGTCCGCGTGGCCTAATGGATAAGGCGTCGACTTCGAATAAAGAAGTTTGGGGGGGTTCGAATCCTTTTCGCGGACGGAGGTTTCTGTTTACAATACGATGCTTCCCTTTTAATTCTGTGATTTTTAAATTGCTATAGAGGGATATATTTGATAAAATAAATTGTCTTCTCTCTCTCGGGAAGATTAGATTGACACTCGTTTTTTTAAATCATTGCTTACTCCATTCTATTCGGCGAGAACTTCCATTTTATCGTTTTTTGAAGAAACGTATAAACATAAAAAACTATTTTTTAAAAAATTTTTTTTTAAAACATAATGCGTTCTTATATATTAAAGAGTTTACAAAAAATTTCATGCGGGGCCCTAATGGAAAAGGGCGTCTGACTTGAATCAAAAGATTGCGGGTTTCGAATCCTTTTGCCGGACGGGGGTTTTCTGTTTAAAATACGATGTTTCCCCTTTTTTAATTCTGTGTTTTTTAAATTGCTTTAGGAAATAAAATTTGGGAAAAAAATGAAATGTCTGCTCGGAAAGTTTAGATTAACACTCGTTTTTTTTAAATCTTTTTGTTTTTAACTCCATTTTTACGGTTCCATTTTACCCTTTTTTGAAAGAAAGTATAAACAAATACTATGTTGAAAATTTTTTATACAAAAAACGTTCTTATAATATGTGGGGGTTACAAAAAATTTCCTTGTCCCGTGGCCTAATGGAAAAAGGGCGCCAACCGAATAAAAGGGTTGGGGGTTTTAACCCTTTTTCCGGGGGGGGGTTTCGTTTCCCTACGATTTTCCCTTTTAATTCTGTGATTTTTTTTTGCTATGGGGATATATTTGAAAAAAATAAATTGTCTTCTCTCCCCAGGAAGATTAGATTGACACTCGATTTTTTTAAAAATCATTGTTTACTCCATTCTATTCGACGGGGGCACGTCCATTTTATCTTATTTTTGAAGAACGTAAAACACAATATTTTGGGAAAAAAGGGTTTTTATACAAAACTTTTCCTTAAAATATGTAAAAGTTAAAAAAGTTTCATGTCCGCGTGGCCTAATGGATAAGGCTTTGATTTCCCGAATCAAAAGTTTTGCGGTTTTAAACCCTGTGGCGGACGGAGGTTTTGTTTACACTCCATTTTTTTCCCTTTTAATTCTGTGTTTTTTTAAATTTTTAAAAGGAGATAAAATTTATAAAAAAAATTTTTGTTTTGGAAAGATTAGATTAACCTCGATTTTTTTAAATCATTTTTTTCCATTCTATTCGGAGACACGTCCATTTTATCGTTTTTTTAAGAAAATATAAACCAATACTATGTTGAAATATTTTTTATACAAAAAGCTTCTTAAAATTATGAGGGGGTTAAAAAATTATGCCCCCTTGGCCTAATGGATGGGGCGCCTGACTTCGAATCAAAAGTTTGCAGGTTCGAACCCTTCGGGGAAAGGGGTTTTCTTTTACACTCCGATGCTTTCCCTTTTTTAATTCTGTTTTTTTTAAATTTGTTTAAAAGGGATAAATTTGATAAAAAAAATTTTCTCTCGGAAAAGATTAGATTAACATTCGATTTTTTAAAAAATCATTTTTTACCCCAAATTCTATTTTAAACCGGTTTTTTTATCGTTTTTTTGGGAAGAAAATATAAACCAATACTATGTTAAAAATTTTTTTTTTATACAAAAAGCTTCCCTTATAATATGGAGAGTTACAAAAAAATTTTTATTCCGCGTGGCCTAATGGATAAGGCGTCTGACTTCAATCAGAAGTTTTCCGGTTTTGGAACCCCTTATGTCGCGGACGGAGGTTTCTGTTTAAAATACGATGCTTTTTTTAATTCTGTGTTTTTTAAATTGCTAAAAGGGGATATATTTTGATAAAAATAAATTGTCTTTCTCTCCCCGGGAAGATTAATTAACACTCGATTTTTAAATCTTTGGGCTTACTCCATTCTATTCGGAACACGTCCTTTTTAAGTATTTTTAAAGAACTTATAAACACAATACTATGTTGAAATGGGTTTTTTTATACAAAAGCGTTCTTATATATTTTGTAGAGAGTTAAAAAAGGAATTTCATGTCCGTTGGCCAAATTTGGATAAGGGTCTGACTTCAAAATCAGAAGATTGCGGTTTTGAATCCGGTCCGGACGGGGGTTTTCTGTTTACACTACGATCTTCCCTTTTAATTCTGTGTTTTTTAAATTGTTTGTGGGGATAAATTTGATAAAATAATTTGTCTTTTTTGGGAAAAGATTAGATTGACACTCGATTTTTGTTAAATCTTTCCCCCACTCCTTTCTATTCGGGGAAAACCACGTCCATTTATCTTTTTTTTGAAGAGAAATAAAAAAAACGGGAAAATTTTTATCAAAAAAGCGTTCTTATAAATTGTGGGGTTACAAAAAAAATTTTCCTTGTCCCGGGGAACAATGGTTAAGGTTTTGGGAACTTCGACAAAAGATTGCGGGGTTCCCAACCCTTGTCGGGGGGGAAAAGGTTTTTTTTTTTAAAACCTACGATGCTTCCTTTTAATTTTGTGTTTTTTAAAATTCTTTTTGGTTTTCGTAAAAAAAATGCCTTCTGGGAAAAGATTAGTTTTACACTCGATTTTGTTAAATCATTGTTTATTTCCTTCTATTCGGGGGAACCCCCTTTTTATCGTATTTTAGAGAACGTATAAACAAAATACTATTTTTGAAAGGTTTTTACAAAGCGTTCTTATATATATTTAAAAGGTTAAAAAGAATTTCATGTCCGCGTGGCCTAAATGGATAAGGCGTCTGATTTCCCGAATAAAGAAGATTCAGGTTCAATCCTGTCGCGGACAAAGGTTTCTGTTTACACTCCGATGTTTCCCCTTTTTAATTCTGTGTTTTTTAAATTTTTTGTTGGGGAATAAAATTTGGGGATAAAATGAAATGTCTGCTCGGAAAATTTAGATTAACACTCGATTTTTTTTAAATCATTGCTTACTCCATTCTATTCGGAGACACGT